CTCTATCTAGTTAGTACGGGGAGGGGGGGCGATGTATTTTCGGCCTGTTAGCCCCTCGCGTGCGGCATACAATGCGGGCCCGACCATTCGGAGTGGACAAGCGGAGATCGTGGTTGTACTGGCCTTAGGGGCTGGGAAACCTCTACACCAATGCTGCGGCGGTAACACCATTCCGTCGTATGCAGAAGTGCGTCAGCTCTCATCTTGAGAATCAAAACGTCCGATAAGGCCATGTGCCAGGTGCGGACGCTAAAGATCCTCTTGTCTTGTTGACGATGAGTACTCGGGAACACAAGTCCTAGTAATTATTTTTATATTATTTTAAACCGTAGCCATTAGCGCGGAAGTACCGAAGAAAGCGTTTATATATTTAATTATATGAGCTCTGTCATCAAAAGTGGAACGGGGTGAAATTATGTTCTAAAATGAGCAAAAAAACGACTGCGTCCTCATATTACAAAATCACAATGGCTCGAGAGAGCTTTTTTTCTTTTTTCACTTCTTTTGTAACCCAAATCCGTGGGCTGCAATATATTTTTCCAAGGAAAGACGATGCCCGGGGCAAGCTAGATATCACAAATCGTCGGAAAGAGCAGGTGAAAGAAAGTCGTTTTCAAGGATGAAATGAGGAAAGTTCTAAGTTCACCCGCGGTACATAGTTTAGTGTTCTTTTTGTGTGTAATTTATTACCGTTTAATGCTAAAATAAAATGTACGAACATACATGATACCACTTAATAATAAGATTTATATTTTCCTCCAACTCTACATCGTAAAATTATCGACTAAAAGGACATGAATAATTAATGTCGATCAACATCAAAAATCGGTTAAATTATATCATAAAATATTCACAGGAAAATCCGCTTCGTTATACACTCAAAGAGAAAAAACGGATACTTTTATTCATATAGTAATTTTCCATAATAACCAGATATAAAAAGTAATAGTTAACTTAAAACATAAACAAAAATTAATAACTTGTTATTAAAAATATTAACTATTAAATAACTTACATAAAGATTAATTAATGGAAAGAAGTTATTTGGTCAATCCGACCACCAAATATAATGGATTTAATAACGAAGTATACCTTCACTAAAGCTCTTCGTTTGAAAAACATTTCATTTGAAAAATGGCAAAAAGGAGGGACAATTCAAAAAGGTGAGTTGAGATGGGAAGTTGGTGTCCGAGTGGATCGAGGTCACGATAGCTCAAGCGGTAGAGCAGCGGCGTATCTAGCCGAATTTCGTGGGTTCGAATCCCACTCGTGACACTGACTTTTTTATCTCGATCAATACCTTACATAAAAGATAATAAATATTATTAAAACTCATGAATTTATGATCTCCTGAATTCGGTTTAATTAATATAACGATAAAAAATAAATGTATTTTATATAAATAACAAAATACTGTTCGTTATTTTTTGTCTCTGAGTGTACCAAGCAGTCCAAAACTAAAAATAAAGGTAACAAATAATCGTAAGATTTTATACGGTTTCGGCTTGTTATTAGCCAATTAGCTAACATAAAAATATTATAAGATTCCATTCAATATATAATAAATAATTATTTATGATAAATAGATATGTTCAATTAAAAAAATAACATTTTCATGAATTATCATTTGCCATAAGTAACATTATCGTTACTATTTTTTATTACAATGTTTTTTTACGTAAGTTGAGTACAGATTTATTTTTAATAATTACAATTTAATAAGTACATTACGACTACTGTCAAGTAGGGAACAATGAGCAAAGTAATATATTCAAAAGAAGAGTGGAGAAAATACCCATTGGTATTATTCCAGCGATACTAAAATATTCTGTTTATTGATACTTGTGCCATTATCACTTTCACTGTCATTACCATCACTTCCTAGGAGATCTCGCGGCCAATGTCTCTTCAGTCGGCGGGGAGGGTTTGCGGGGAGTCGTCCAGATGCCAGGTTTCTGATGTGCTGATTTAAGATAGTATGGAGGTTTTAATGAAGTTTACGGCAACGGGAACGGATTTCATCTTGAACGAAAGTGATATGTAAATCTGTATGTTTAGTTCGATACATGAAATGTAGCATCTAGTATTTTTCGTAGGATTAAGGACTGGGCAGTTTGAATACAGTCGATGTTGGAATATTGGTCTGAACCCCACACTTACAGTCCGTAAGTCCATACCGGCTTAGCTGTGGTGTTGTAAAGCAGCCTTCTATTTTTGAGAGGTAAATTGTCAAGAAGTCGTCCACGAGCTCTGTATCGTGTCATAATCTCTTGGCGTTTCAGTCGTGTGTGAGGATTCCACGTCAGGCGTTTGTCGATGTACAGCCCGAGGTACCGCACACCTTGTCCGCAGTTGGGAGGGGAATATTATTTATGAAAATAGAGGGGGAGATCTTTTTACAGAGAGTGAAGGTAATGTAGGTGGATTTGTCTGTGTTAAATTGTATCCTTTTCTTTTTACGCCACGACTAGTAGTGTGAGTTGTTCTTGGAGGTTTCGAGTGGAAATGGCAAAGTTGTCGCTGGAGAGAATTGCTGCAAATGCGAATGTGGTGGTTTCGGGATGTGAAGACATGTCAGCTGTGAACACGTGGTACAGTGTTGGGGCCAGAACACTACCTTGAGGAACACCAGCAAGGACAGGGAAAATATGCGTAGAGGTAATGGCCTTCGATGATTTGGAAAAATCGGTCAGTGAGGTAATTGTGCAGTATGAGATAGTAGGTGGATGGAAGGATGACCTTGAGCATGAACACGAAGCCCGGGTGCCAAACTCGACCAAAATTTGGTTACGACAAGAAAAGCCCAAAAATAATACTGTCCCATATCATGGGAGGAGGAAATAATGTCTACCACGCGAAACCAAATTGATGGTCTGGGATGATGTTTTGAAAATTTAAAGACTACAGAGTAAAATTATAAATCTGCAGAAATATTAAGAAAATCAACTTTTTTTAAAGAAAATTATAAATCGACAGAAATATTTTTTAAAAATTTATGAAATGTTTACGACATTATAATTATTATATTTTTTTAGGTAAGTTGAGTAAAAATGAAAATTATAAATCGGCAGAAATATTAAGAAAATCCTGTATGAAATGTTTACTATTTTTTTAATTATTATATTTTTTACGTAAGTTGAGTACAAAGGAAAATTAAAAACGCTCTGTGAAATGTTTAACTTTTTCTCATTTCTCTCGCAAAAAGAAAGGTAGAAGTATATTTTTCTCTCTCCTACCAATCGGTAAGCTCCGGTGCTTTACGGAAAAAAAGCAACGTTACTTTACGATAGGGAACAATTCCTTTAAAATTACTCCGGGATAAATCCGGGAGCCATAAAGGGCGAGGAAGAAGGCCCCCGACAAATGGATAGATTGAAGCTTTCGAGCAGGGCGAACGGACAAAGGATCGACTTTCAGAATCCCTCCCAATTCTTCATGAAAAGGACGAGCACAGTGATAAGCCGAGAAATGTTTCCTTTCCACAAGGCCACTGGCTCATTATTAGGCCAATGAAAATATTTAAAGGGGAAATATACGATCGACAGTGCTAGTAATTTAAGTCTATATTGAAGGTACTAATATGTGAACAATTCCCATATAATATGTATTTACGATGCAATTACACCGAGCAAGAAAGGGCTCTTATTTGTCTACAAAATAATACATAGTACCCATTTTGTCATATTACAATATTTTAACAAACGTTTCTATTTCTAACTTGCTAAACGCGGCATGTAGAGAAAGGTTGCTCGATGTGTCCCATTATATTGAAGGTTGTCATTCCTCGGCTTTATATACAGAGCACATCGTATAAATTTTCTTGAGCACGACAGCGAGTATCTGGCTCCCCTGTTCCGATTCTTGGAGGAAATAGCGCTAATTTATTGCATTACTGATGATGTTGTGTACCCTAGTGTGTGTTGAGAATGAATGCGTTTAGTAGCGAGTAGAGAATGAGAATTTTGCTTGAACACTCAACCGGACCCTGTTCCGATATCCGGAGGAAATAGTATATCACACAATGAAATTTAATGTATTTATTAGCACGAATGTTTACTAACCCGAATAATCCACACTAAGTTGACACACAGGCACTTTTGGGTGAAAGACAGCATCTGCCCAGCATGTATAGAATGGCTACTTGTTCCGTCCACTTAATTCAAGCTTATCATTCATTTGCTCCATATAGAGAGCGAGTAGGGATGGAATTCGATTTCAGAATTGTACTGGAGCACGGAAGCCCGAAAGGGTCCTGCTTCCATGTTTAGGGGAAATAGGGTTGTTTTATTGTATATAGTACATCATAGATGGAGATTGAATGTATTTATTAGCACGAATGTTTACTAACCCGAATAATCCAACCTAGCTTGACACACAGATACTTTTGGTTGAAAGACCGCATCTGTCCAGCATGTAGAGAATGGTTACTTCTTCCAACCACATAATTCCAAGGTATCATTCATTTGCTCCATATGGAGAGCGAGTAGGGATGGAACTCGATTTCAGAATTGTACTGGAGCACGGAAGCGCGAAAGGCTCCTGCTTCCATGTTTAGGGGAAACAGGGTTGTTTTATTGTATATAGGATACCAGAGATGAAGATTGAATGTATTTATTAGCATGAATAAATGTATTCTCACGACTAGAAATATACCGTACTTTTTTAACCCACAGACACTTTTGGGTCAAAGACCACGTACTTTCAATTAGATTGCGTTAGAAAGTTGATGAAGGAATGTCGAATATTCGGATGGGGACTTAAATGACCTAACTGTTGATAGCTATTGTAGTCTAACTTCGCGGCGGGACTGATGAGGCCGAGGTATGAACCCGAATGCAAAAATAACGAAGTGGGTAATTCTCTCGGTTTGTCTTGAGAAGTCGCTCATAAGAGAAATAAATATTTACTATGGAACTCTAGAAGACCAAACTTGCCTTTTTACGTTTCAAGATAATAATAATAAACTACTTTGCTTTAAGAAATAAATGAATTGAGCAAGAACCAAAATCAGCGTATATTGATCAAAATAATTACAAAAATTATACATTCAGCAAGTTGTTATTTTACCAGCCGTATTCGGTCTCGGAATGGTGGTTCTAAAATAATTGTCAGCACTTTCTCAAGTAACGTTTAGCCTCGACGTAATTTTTGTATTCGTACGCACGAGGATCGTAGGTGGACGCGGTTGATTCTCTAGATAAAATGGGAGGACAGGTCTCGTAAGAGGTCCTACTGCGAGCGCTATTCACTGGAAGTCTTTTCTTTGCTTTGATCGGTTCTTCGTTGGTTTTCTTTTGTTCAAACTTGATTTTAGACGGTAACTTACTTTTTGTTTCTTTATTCGGCTCAGAGCTGGCTTTCTTCCGTTCGAGGCTTTTGAAGAGCGCTGTACGCGTTTTCGACAAACCCAGCGGCCCGATTCCCAAGTCGACTGTTTTATCGCTGGTGACTATCTTTCTCAATTTTCTCGATTTTCGGCCGTTTTGACGGTTAACCTTCAAAGGGGTTTTGCTCAAGCATGCCTGAGAGGAAACGGCACGGCACCCGTTGAGATAATCGTTTGCTTTGGGATGCACCTTGTTTCTCGGGTTTTCTACTGCCTTTTCATGATCGGTTTCATTCTCGTTAGGCTTCGAACAGTCGAAACAATAGCAATCCTTGAGATGAGAACCGTACGGGTTCCCGATGTAAACGTGCTTTAAGCAGTCTTCTAAAAACGACTCGTCAATGTTCGAATTGACAACACGATGAACTGCTTTGTGAGATGTTTTGCCGTGTTTACGAGGTTTCGGTACATTTTTCTTGTCTGTTTCTTTCGTCGCATCTCTGACTCTACCGTCTTGTTGATTTAGAGAATATTTAAAATCCGTGAGGTCGTTCTGGCCAGATTCTTTCTCTTCCTTTTTCGTCTCTTCGACAGAAACGAAAGTGTCTTGTTTTACTGGTACAGAATCCTCCTTATCTTCCGTCGTCTCGGCTTTTTGTATTCGTTCTACCGCCTCTGAAAACGCCCGTCGGAATTCTTGAAAAATCCGTTCGTCCCTCGAACTGTTCGATAACCCGGAGAACAGATTATAAATTTTATCGGCGTTGCTGGTGTCGTTCTGCTTTGAACCATTAATATCAATGAAGTCTGTCAAATCTTTGTTTAAAAAATTGAAGTACCCGCCACGCATTTCTGACCCCACTGTGTACGTAGTGTCGCTGTGTTTATCGTTTGTGTCATTTTCATTGTTACCCAACTCCCTTTGTCCGTTTCCCGATCCTCTTGTAGGTAGTTCGTTTGTAGTTGAACCGTGTTCTTTTTTGACGTTCTCTACTGGGTTCCGTTGTAAATTACCTGTTTCGTCGACTTCCTCGACTATTGCAGGCGGTTCCTGCTTATCGACCGACTTTTTAAATGTTTTCATTTCTTGAAAATAATCCGGCGCAGAACAACAAGGTCGGAGGACCTTTTTGAGATAATCGTGTACTGCGGGACACCACTCCGGCAAGCTAGAAGAATTCTCTGAAGATACTGCGTGATACCACTCCGGCAAGTTAGAGGACTTCTCAGAAGACACTGCGTGTCTTGTAGCTTCGGAATCGGTTTCGCTCTCTTCTGACGTACGGTTAAAAGTACAATTTTCTTTGTTGCAGAAAGAGTGGGTGCATTTGTCCAAAAAACACTGATGGTATTTGAAGTCGAATACATCTTTGGTCTGTGTCGATGTTCTGTGTACATGGATCATAGCTTCATCCAAGCAAAATGTAACGCTTTCCCATTTAATCCGGCAAAACTCAGGAGAAGTCGCAAGGTTGACAACGGCATTAAGACGTTCGTCCTTCTCCATAGCAATTTCCGACTCCAACACCGTTTTTACCTTAAAATGATTTGTTTAAAAAAAATTTAAATCGACGCGAACAGACAAGCACACATTTCTCCCCTCACACACACCATTTATTGATTAATCAAAGAAAGGAACGTCCAGCAATAAAAGTGACAACTTACAACCAGACCAGATATGTCATGACCAAGTCCAAAAATCAAGCGAATAGTAATTCTAATCAAACTTAGCATATGGATAACCTTCATTCACGCCTCTTACGTTAATTTTCTTTTGTTTTATTCTATTCCTTTTATATAACTTACGTTTTTTGCAATCGCAATTAAAAAATAAAGCATAAATAAAAATTGTAAAGTACGATATTTTTATACTATTTACTTTCAGTAGTACATATATAACTACATTTAAACTGCAATAATAACTTCAATAATTGATTTTTGTTAATAATTTTATTTTTAAAACTTTTTAATTTTGTGTTTTTGTTTTGTCCCACTTGGCATTTTGATAAAATTACACTTGAGTTGATTTATCACTTAGATGAAAGGAGCAACATAATTTTTATATTAAGTTCATAAACTAAGCGGTTTCAATAGGAGAACTAAAATTTAATCCACTCAGTTCAGTAAGGTCAATAAAGTTGTTAATTTTACAAGCCAATTTAATGTGTCGGATTTTTGTTTTGTCTCTCCTTTGTTTCTTTCTGTTTACTCTCAACCTTTTAATGTCACCAAGGCTGTAAAAAATTTTTTAACATAAAACTATTATTAATTTTGTCCTGTTATTATTAAATTTCTGATTAAGTTAAGACGGGAAGATCTCTCTCTATCTACATTAACCTAGGCTAGGAGCCAAAGTTAACTAATTAGGCCTTCTATACAAGGGTCGATCTGCGGTCGACGTAACTTGAATCCAATGTTACTGCAAAACAACCGCGGCTCTACCTAAACCTGAGGTTATTTAAAATGGCTCTCAGGTCGAATTTTGTTCAGTCTACTCGTGTCTTGCAAGAAGGGTTCTCATCACATAAACGGTTTTTTAAAGATTTTATAATGAATAGGTCAAGCGATGATGAGGACATAGTTATGTTCTACTGGTACCGTCAAATGACAAGGAGGCGAAGAAAAGAATGATCTTAATCCGTAGAATTAATGACTGATTAAGCCGCGGAAGAAAAACAATTGTGAAGGCTCATTCGGCATGTTGGCAGAAAATTCCAAGTACACAATAAACCAATACGACGTTGAGACCGAATAAGGTCAATTATCATAATGTAAAATTATTCCTTTTTATGTAAGGTCTTGGTTGATATAAAAAATTAGGGATAGTTAGGGAGAGTGAGATAAACGTGAGTTAAAAAAAGTCAGTGGCACGAGCGGGATTCGAACCCACGACTTTCGGCTAAATACGCCGCTACTCTACCACTAGAGCTATCGAGACTTCGATCCTCTCGGACACCAACTCTCCATCTCAGCCTACAACCGTTCGAATTTTCCCTCTTTTTGCCATTTTCAAATGTCATTTTTTGAAAATGGCAAAAAGAGGGAAAATTCTAAAGGTTGTAGGCGAGACACACCGAGAGTTGGTGTCCGAGAGGATCGAAGTCACGATAGCTGGAGTGGTAGAGCAGCGGCGTATTTAGCCGAAGGTCGTGGGTTCGAATCCCGCTCGCAACACTGACTTTTTTATCTCAACTAAGACCTTACATAAAAAAGAATAATTAATTGAAAGAAGTAACTTGGTCAATTGACCACCATAAATGGAATAATGTAAAATAAATCAATTAGAGCAGTTTGTATACTTCACAATTTCCTTAGAACAAAAAAAAAGCTAGCTCACAATAAACTCTACTAATGTTAGAACAAAATCTCCATATGACTGGTTCTACTTACCTGAGTCATTTTATGCCACTCTCGCAAAAATAAATGCTAATTCAACCGAAAATGTTCAGAGAATATTTATCCCATTATTTTGTGACTCCAAGGGCATCACTGCTTGGGCAATGGAACTACGGTTTTTAAATGGCTAAATTTTAAACTAAATTAAAAATTTTGTAGTTTGTCTGTTTTAAATTAAATGTAAGTACTGGTTTTAATGTTTAACTGGTTAGATCGTAATATATCTTGCTAATTCAAAAATAATTTTATTATGTACCTCCTTACTTTATTATGTATGTATATTATGTATATATGTATGTAAATATACATATATTATCTATTACCTTTACTTACTTTTTTTGTTCATTCAGAAGGTTCTAATATCATCATTAAATATGCACAGTTTGTAATATTTCGTACAACTCATAAAAACCTCATTCCACGCCTTCGCAGTTGTGTCCTTTTTGGAATAACCAGGCAGGGTGTAATTTTACAATTCAGGATGCTTTTCCATCTGTACAAATTTTATTGGTCGGTGCAAAATGAATGCAGGTTTTTAAATTTTTATTTTATTTTCGCAGGTGCTTGTCATGTAAACAAAGCTAAATCGTAATCGTATCTGATAAATAATTTTAACTGTTACCTTTTGTACAAATCATTGTAGTTTATTCATTATATTTCGTGGTCCGATTGACCAAATAACTTCTTTCAATTGTTTAATCTTGTTATGTAAGGTTTTAGTTGAAATGAAAAAGTTAGTGCCACGATAGCTCAAGTGTTTAGAGCAGCGGCGTATTGAGCCGAAGGTCGTGGGTTCGAATCCCGCTCGTGACACTAACTTTTTCATTTCAACCAATACCTTACACAAAAAGATTATTTAATTGTAGTTTATATTGGATTTTATAATCTTATCTGCAAAGTTAAATAGGCCCAAACTAGATTTTCGTCAAATTTATTTGTACGAATTTAAATCACTTTGGCGAAGTGTGGCCCAAACCGTAACAACGCATAACGTTAAAATCCCACGGAGGAATCGAACATATTGGGCGGGTGCAAAAAAAATGCAGGTTTTGAAAAATCAGACAAAACTATTTTTAATTTGTATAAAATAAAGAAAATTATTTCCGAATATTTTCAATCACAATCTATACATCTTTGCCAACATGCAATTAGAGCTTTTATTTCGCTGACATAAAGACATTTCGACTCGCAATAAAGTCTTGGAAGACGTTTTCGGCTTCACCGCGTTCTCTAAAAATTTTATTACTCAAGAACTGATCAAAATGCCTAAAAAAGTTCAAGTCTGTAGGCGAGAGGTGGGATGGATATGAAAGGTGCGGTAAGGTTTCATATCACAAGCCCTTAAGTTTCCGCAGGGCATTCCGACATGTGGCCTGGTATTTTCGTGAAGAGGGATCTGCCCTTTACAGTTTACCATTGTTAGACAAAGACGTTGCAATTTTCCCTGATTTTGTCAATTTCTTGGCATTATTTCTCTGCTCTGTCAGTGAACAACCCCAGCAGTGCAGCACCAAACAGTCACCATAATCTTTTTGGCTTGGTTTCGAGACGTGTTTAGGAACTTCATCCTTGTCCGACCACTGACCCGTACGCCTCTTTTTATAATACAGAATGCATTTCTCATCGTGATGATTCGATCGAGAAATGGATCATTTTGGTCGCGCAACAGAAGGGACGTGCAAATTTCAAAGCGCCGATTTCCTTGGGCTTCGGTTTGTTTCTGCGGTACTCACTTGTCGAGCTTCTTTACTTTTACCAATTTTTCTCCAGATGGCGAACAACGGTTGAGTGTCAACACTAAGCTTTTCAGCAATTTCCCGTTTTGGTCATAAATTTTCTTCAATCAACGTTTTGAGTTGGTCGTCGTCCACAGCGGAAGGCCTACGCGACCTTACCTGCCTTCGACATCGAAATCTCTGAAACCTCTTTGCACCGTGCATTCGCTAAAGCTTCCCTCCCCCCAAACTGTACTGATGTTACGCGCAGCTTGGGCCGCACTTCTGCCAAGTTTAAATTCGTACGAAAATTTAATTTGGTCATACTTAATTTCGCAGGTCCTCACCCTTATAAAATTCAATATGAACTAAAATGTTTTAGTAGGCAGTAGACGCTGTCCAGGCGGTAATCTCCAGCGAAGAATTGAGGTACTACGGGATACCCAACCAACACCAGGCAAGGTCACGTCAAGGCCTAATACACTGAATTGCCCATGTCCTGTTCTTCTCCCGATTTTCTTCACACATTTAGTTCGTCATCAAACACAAGGAAAAAGGCATTTGGACCCTTTCCTCTGGGGCACCACAAAAGGCAATGTGAACTGAATGGACAACAACGAATGGGCAGAAGAGACACAAACACACCCATTAAAGTGTGTCTCAAATCTGTAAGTAGAACTATATTTTTCAAAAGTGAATCTTTTGAACCTACTGACCCCACCTTCATCAGAGTCAGATCAGTACGGAGGCTTAGATTTTACCCCGTCCGCAAATCTTTATGTAAAAAATTGTCGCAACCCTGTACATATTATACTACACTTCACTTCCTTTTTTTTAATTATTTATTTTTGTAATTATTTATTTAGAAATCGTGAGATGCGGTCTGGTGTGATGTAGGTAGAAAAACATTTTCTTTATCGTGCCAACGTTTCGATCTTTATTGAGATCATCTTCAGGGCCTGGGATTAACAAACATTGTTTACATATTACAATTACATTTTGGATGTGGAAAAATGAATTTATACAATGCAAAACATATTTTTTATATATTCAATCACCACACATTTGTAATTATTGTTTCTATGAATTTTTTTGATATCGAATCCCCTTTTTTTAATCTATACTGGGTGTCCTCTTTAGATGGCCCGGCCGAATCTCTCTTAATCCAATGACGCTATAAAAATAAGTACGTGTTTAATATTTTATAGACTAGTTTCAATTTTTACTTTTTGAGGGAGAAAAAATTAAATAGGATACGTCAGGCACATTTCAACTTCAAAATTTCAAATAGGACTCTATACGTCCTGTCACATCATTTTAAAGGATTGTTTTATGCTGAAACAACGGTGCAATCGGAATTTAAATTAGTCAAAAATATTTATCACAGTTATTGTAAAAAGACTAAAAAAAAATGAATTTCGTTTGTTTCGTTGTTCATTCCAATAATTTGCTTCTTCGCTAATTTACACATTAATTGCTTTTATTGTATACATTCTGCCATTATAGAACAGACATAACGGCGGGTTGATATGTACGGCTGTTTATTGATACTGGTGGTATTTGCGCGTCGTGCAGTCGAGTTGTACTCCAAGAAATTTTCTCATAGCCCCAGAGTAAACCACAAAACGTTCATTCGTGCAGCTCGCAATGTGAGGAGACATGGCTAGTCCCTGTTCCAGCACCAAAAAACCGGCAGCGTAATTTCGACTTGGAGCTGAATATTTTACTGTGTGTTCGCGAAAATCCGAATTCCTTTCTCCGAAATGCTGGAAGGTTTTTCAAAAAATAAAATTATAGATATTCTCCGGACATAAAATTTTAAGCGTTTCGCTCATATCTTGTCCAGGGACTTCGGGGCTCTGATTATGACAAGCGTGTAACATTTCTTGCACAAATGTAGATTTCGGAGGGTGAAGAAAACGTTCTTCCATACATCCTATGGACTGATGAATCCCTCTAAATGGCATACTAAACCGTTGGAATTTTCGAACGTGGACAGAGGAAAATCCGAGAATTTCGTACTCCTGTCATCATCAGATGGTTCACAGTAACAAGGTTTAATCATTTTAAAAAAGGATTGAACACCGCACTCACTCCATCATTCGTCATTTCTATGCATCAAGGTTTGGTGTGGACTTCTCGGAAATAAATTAATTGGGCCTTATTTCTACAAAAATAATTTAAATGGTGCTCAATTCCTCAATTTTTGAGGGAGGTTTTACCAACACTATTATATGATGTTCCTCTGCAGCAACGATAAAGAATGATTCTCCAGCTTGGTGGGTGCCCCGCACGCAATTCTTTGCAGGTGAGGCGTTATTGGAATCGTCACTTCCGGTATAGGTGGATCATAGCCCGATATAACCCCATTCGACTATTTTCTTGGGGCTATTTAAACTTCCGTGTCTACGCCAATCATAACTCAGCAACCTCAGTTGAAAAACTGCGGCAAAGGCTAGAAAATGTCATCAATCCATCTCCCCTGACAATCGCTCTGAGCACCGGTGAAGAGTGGTTAAAAATAACTAATCTTTGCATCTTTACGCAAGGCAGGCAGTTCGAACATGAAATGTGATTAATATTTTTTTTTACTTTTTGCCATAACTTTGTATTCTGTTGACCAATTTAAAATCCAATTGCACCACAAACATAAAACAGCCTTTAAAATGATATATCAGGAAGTATAGGGTCGTATTCCAAATTTTGAAGTTGAACTGGGCCTGAAGTACTATGTATAATTTTTCTCCAAAAAAATATAAAAATTTAAAACTAGACTAGAAAATATGGAACAAGTTTTTAAAAAAAAAAATATATAGCGTCATTGGTTCAGGAGAACTTCAGCCGGGCCATCTAAAACGGACACTTTGTATAGTCTAAAAAAAAATTCGGAGAAAAAGTAATTTACAAAAATAAACAATTAAAAAAAAGGAAGTGAAGTGTAGTCTAATATGTACAGGGTTGCTTCAGTTTTTTACATAATGATTCTGAGAGGAGGTAAAATCTATCCTACTGATTTGAGCCTGATGAAGGTGGGGTCAGTAGGTTCAAGATTCACTTTTGTAAAAGATGGTTCTACTTACAGATTTGAGACGCAACTTGACACACTTTAATTGGTGTGTTGTGCCTCTGCTGCTCATTCGTTGATGTCCATTCAGTCCACATTGCCTTTTGTGGTGCCCCGGAGGAAAGCACCAAAGTCCACCAAGGGGGCCGTGGCGCTCGTCCCGCCGATCACTTGCGTGGCCCCCCTCCCGGCCTGTCCAACCAATAGAGAGCCAAGCCTTGGTGAGTGAGAGGAAGGGATGCAGGCCCAGGAAGAAGGACGGTGCATCTCTAGTTTTTGACTTTTGTTTGAGGTGATAAATCTCTGAAGATGCCTCTTATTTTTCCGGACGGATGAAAGGACCCGGAGAGACGAGGAGACCGATCCGGCACGCCGCCCCCCAGAAAGGTAGGAAACTTTTTTCATTAAGCACCCTGTATACATTATTATTAATAACCTATAAAATTGTAATAATATCTCACGTTTTTCTCAATCGACACACTTGCTTTCCCACCCTTGTAGAGATCACCTCATTTTTCAAGATTCTAGTTATTATTTTCTGCTTCCTTTGCAATCTGTAGTTTCTTTCCAAATATCAAGAGGTTTTTGGATTTTTTGTATCCAACAAGTGATTCCCATCGTTTTCTCAATTTTACTATGTCTTCTTTATCATAGTACCCCTATACCAAAAATGGTTCAGGACCTATCAATGGTGTAACAGCCCTTTTCCTAGCAGAGCGTTAACTTCTTTGTGCCCCACTACTCCGTTTCTTGACCAAGCTGAGATTCTATTTTGTGCTTAACCTGCTTAGTATGGTTTTGCAAGTATATCAGCCATTCTTGAGTTGATATTTGAGTTAAATGCTCTGATGTTTAACTGGCTATCTGACATGTCTTTGTTTTTATATACCTGATCAAATTGATTTTAGAACATTTTTTATTGGACGTAGGGTCTGCCTATTAGTCATTACTCAAAGTACTTCTTTCAATTATGGATTTTGGCATGAAAGAAACTGGTGTACATGCCCAGGTCTGAACGCACTACAAGTGGTCAACTGTGTGGTGCATTGCTCTTTTTCTTGCCTTATTTTAGTTCTGGGCTAATTTATTTTTTATCATGTATATTTATAGATAATATGTGTAACGTCCTGCTGTCATGATTGCTATGCTAAACTACATGCGATTGTAGTGGCCATGTATCTGATATCATGGAGGTAGCGTCAGACAATGATATGAAGTACGAACGTTATCAAAGAAAATTAATAATATCAAATAGTGAACAAGTGTAAATAAAGGACTTATAAAATTGATTCATTGTCAGGAATACATTGATTTTGTCCTTATATAAATGCAGTAACATTATATTCAAACAACAAAAAATGGTCTGCATAGGTAAGGCTCAAAAATACATACGATACTTGAAACACAAGCAAACTACACCTTCAAAAAATAGACCTAAAAATACCACAATACCTACTAAATAAAATTGTTATAAATTTTCATCTGACGGGTATACAAACAGATGATAAAATTGTGTATTTATAATTAAGACAGAAATAAACCAAAAAGTTTAGAAAAAAACTAAAGGCAACTTACTGTAATTTCTTGTGTCTTAAATGTGTGGTCTATTAGACATGGTTAATTTATTTTAATTTAGAGAAGCGAATTCCTTTTGAATAATTTTCCTTTCAAACAGCCCGTGCATACAATTTGTGATGTGGTGATGGTTTTAAGTAAGGAAACCCCCTTAACATATGCAAACTCTGACACTTATGGCATATGAAAACATCTTAACAAATCGTAAGTCACTAAGCAATCAGATAACATCGGTTTATACAAGTTTATGGGAATAAATTCATCCTCAGGATCGTGAGAAAAAAAAATAGAATATAACAGTTCGGGTATCAACATTTTATTTACACATCATATACCTCAATATTTGTATTCATCACAATAACATTTTTAGGGTTAACTTTGTAAATACATATTATACAAAAAGTATACACTTCGTTTTTATATTCTAAATCACCACATACATAAAATAGAGATAATATAATTATAAATCTAGATGACTCTTTTTAAGTAACTTTTGGTTCATTTTTTGCTTTTTAAATATATATATGTATATTGAAAACAGCAACATGATAAATATATATTTCTTGAATATCTAGATACAAGTAGACAATCAAATGCTAATTATTATTAACAGAAATCCTTAAAAACTAAAAGTGCTGTGGAATTTTCAAATTCACAACATACCTACATTTATTGTTTTTTTTCTCTCTTTTTGCTTATGGGAGAAAAATGAATGAATCACATGCCCCATTTAGAGGTTTCAAGAGGAATCAATTACTAAAATTTACACAGCCTTATAATTAGGTTTTTATATCACTGATTGCCCAGAAAGGAAACTGTTTCTAGTTACATGATTGGAGGTTTTCAGAACTTGATTTGAATTTCCTTCAAATAATTTTACCAGTTATAAATGAAAAAAAAATCAATTTGATTTCAATTAAAACATCAATCTTACAATCCAAACAACAAAAATTTAATAATCAGTATTTCACATGGCTTTGTTACAAATCAAAGGGAATCCCCCAAAAACCAAAAATAATTTAAGTTTTACATTTTTTTTAAACTGTACTTTAAAATAAAGCTGCTGCAAGACATACTAATGCAACATAGCAATTCATATTGTTAAACCAGAATTATATCATTCCTCAAAAAAAACTTACGTTATAAACATTTTTTAGTGATTAATCTTATATCTATAAATAATATACACATTTTATTAAAGAAAATTTTGTTAGCCAACATTTAGATGAAAAGCCATCAAAACTGAAAAAAAAAAAAAAAAACATTTATGCTATAAACATCAAAGGGAGGAAAATCAGAATTTCTTTACACTTTCTTTAAAAAGCTTGTGGGCAAGTTCGCATGAATACCTTTTTATTTTTTCTCAAAACCATTGATTAGAATTTTAACAACACGTACTTTTTTAAATTTTTTTTTACTTTTTAATAACACATTCAGTTTAATAAGATAAATTTAAAGTTTGGTCTTTACAATAAAATATAGCATAAAAGGATTTCCATTTTGTCGTCGATACAACAGGCATTTGAAAGTAAAGTGGTTGCGAAGCAAAATGTTATCTTCACCATTTTCCTAATTTATACAAAATTAAAGAAGCCGCACATATCACAAATATTTCAGATAGGTTTTTTAAGTATTAACTTAATACTGATATAGATTATATATTATGTATAATATAGATTTTAGTAATTTCTCTTTTTTTAATTTAACATACAAATTTAAATCTAAATTTATAATGATTTCTAATGATGATGGGATTACAATTGTGCCATTGCACAACAACTGGTCCATAATGTATGGTCTGAGGTAGTCTTTATTTATTTTTCCAGACATGTGGAATTTATTTAAATTAAGATTTCTGTATTTTCAGCAAAAGGGTACAGTCAACTGTTTTTACTTATTAAAATTTGTTCATTTTGCCAGAAAATGACTACAAACTATGTGACTGTGAGCTAGGAAAATTAAAAATATATACATAAGGCATGTACACTGCACTGTGCAAACTACTATGTTTAAAACAATTTTAAATACCTTCGGTACAACAAATAAAAGATGTTTAAACTAACATATTAGCTAATTTATACAACATTAATCAACCTTTCAGTAGTCTTCAACAAAATAGGCCAATAATTAATTGAAATTATAAATAATTTGGTATTGTTTGAATTTCATCAGCCATAAATTTTAATTTGAAAATTAAAGGATGTTGGGGAAAAACATCAGCCCACTTTTTCTTCAAAATGCACATCTGAGAGTATCGTAAAATAGTCAAATTGATAAAGTAGCAGTGTGATTTGAGTCCAAAGGAATATACGTAAAAAGTTTTGCCATGAGTCCAGGTGCACCTTCAGATGAGGCACAAAATAGTCAACCAATATAATTGAACAAATTATTAGTGCAAAAAGTTGAAGCGAGGTCTATTTGAAAGTTTTTAAAGATAGAACTGGGGAACCGCGGAAGCTGAGTGGTTAGCATCAGCTTGTAGACTCAGCAGTTGTGGATCGATTCCTATCATTGCCCCTGGGATTTTCTGTACCCCCCCCAAAAAAAAAAAAAAAAAAAAAAAAAAACGATCCTCTCATCATGTCTATGGTTAATATGCAAATGCATAAGGCAATATAAAAAAATTATAATAAAATAAATAAATAAGATAAGAAATATCTATCTATATGTTAAGTATTGATTTAATATTAATTTCACTAATTCCGTGGTCCGCTTGACCAATTAATTGTAATTTAATATTAATATCATTTTTTAAATGTTTTGTTTTTTATTTTAAACTGAGACCCTGATCATGGTGTAATATACGTTGAAAGCTTTGCAACTGTAGTCTAGTGTATCAGTTGACTTCCTTCTGATCCTCTTTAACTAATTATTAATTATAGGTCGATCTCAACTTAACTAAATATAAAATATAAGCCTCAGGCTGTATTCTTCAAAAGTGAACTGATGTTAATTACTTAGGCCTTACTTTAGACATTGAATACATTCAAGCCGACCTAAAACACTGTAAAGTGGCAATGTATATATAGACTTTCTAAAACCTATAATTAGGTAAATCTTCATCCTCAATACATTTCAAAATCATGCTTAGCAGTTGTTAATCTGTCAAATAAAGCTTGGGAAGAATTTGAGGAAGTACAGGTATTAATCTAGCATTATTGTTTAAAACAGAGCCTGGCTGAAGTTTTATATATAACATAAAGGGAAGTCATTGAACAAATCATTTTGGTTTGGCTTATTACCTCACTCAAAAAGATAAAAATGTACCTCTTAACCCTGACAAAATATAACTTATTAAGTAGAAATAAATTTATTTGATTAATCACATATCTAAGTGAACAGAAAATCAAAATTAAACTAACACATCATCAACTCCTTACATCAACCTATATGAACATGAATATATGATGATTTATATACGGAAAAATTAATAAATTGGGTTGGAAGTAAAATAAACCAAAATATTACTCAACATGCACACTTTTTATGCTGTTTGTTATCTTGCAATGTGATTTTATTGCCTTGATGCGATTTGTTCGGCGACGGGGTCAGCGCTTGGTCGACTGCCGCTTCCATTCTCTGCATCACGAGGTCGAGCAGCAGCTCAATGCACATGGAAACATTCTGGCCTGTAGCGGCACTGGTCTCTAAATATGTGAAACTGAAAATGGCAAAAAATAAACATCGACTAGTTGAGTCGAAATTGGTTTTTGGAAAAAAATAAATAAATTGGTATTCAGTATTAGAAGGATGGAACACTTTTTCATTCACGAACACTCTGGACCAAGTAGAGTCTTGAAGAAAAAAGCAATCAGTTGTTACTGCCAAGTTTTCAAATTATTAAATATCATCATGAGGAAAAAAAATCTTAAATACATCTAAAAATTGACATATTTAAGTTTTTACAGGCGATCTCATATTTCCTTGAAGACTGACGCAGTGATTGCAAAGGACTGTGTCAATCTCTAGACATATTTAAGATTGTTTTGCCCTTAAAATATGTCGAAAGCTTGGCACTAACAACTGATTTTTTTTTTCCTTCAAGTCCAAACCTTGATCCAGTGTTAGTGAATAAATTTGTATCAAGTAGTATGAATCACCTTACCCGTACTGTGCAGCTGCTTCTTTGGCTCTTTCTTCGCTGATTACTCTTTTATCAACCAGATCAGCTTTATTCCCACACAGAATTATATCCGGGTTTTCGCAGTAGGCATGAGCCTGCATAAAATAAACTCCTGCTTACTTTAATCATGATTTAATTATGATATAATAAATATTAAAACTACAATTAAACATTAATTACTTGATGAATTAAATTTTAGTTTTCTTTAGATTGTCAGAATTGTTATAAAATTTACCAAACAACTTTCATTTTGTAATTCGGCCATTATTGGTCTGCCTATCCTCACTGGATTGGACTGTCAGATGTGTTTCGGCATTTCACTAACTTCCGTGGGCTGATGGTCTGACAAAGCAACATAGCAAGGATAAGCAGAATGATCAGTAACGACCAAATTACAGGTTCATCACCTTTTAGACCAAAGGAGAAAATTCTCACAAATTTACTTTTATCTTGTTATTAGCATTAAAAGTTAAATTTTTTAAATATTTAATTTTAATAACAATAAACTCCCTTAACAATTTTTAGAGTATTATTTTTCATTATTTTTATTTTTAGTTTAATTTACTTTGAAATTAAATAAATTTGTTTGGTTTTAATCAGTATTAATAATGGTATATCATCTCAAGACACCCCACAATTTACAATATTTTTTTACAAGGTTAAATATAGTTAGTACGACAGTCATAAGATATTGACAGAAATTGCAACTGTTCGGGCATGCATGCAATCGGAATCGGCATTCAAATTGTGGCATTGTCAAATGAAGCAAATTATTTTCAGCGATTCAAAATCATCACTGATAGAAATCATGTAACCTGTGATGTCATGTGCAGACATATAGAATATTAGAAAAGATATGAAATAGGCAGGCGAAATTAGTGTATTTTGTGTATTTTTATGTTAATTTTTTGCCCTACATCATGTATAATCTGAGTGTGGTGTAAGTTTATGTTCTCCGAACACCAAAACAGTAATGATAGGTAGAGCAGAATGATCCCATGAAGAAATTTCACAATAATATATGTTACCCAGTTTGTTAGTTATTAATGATTTATCCACGGTGGCCAAGTGTTTAAGGTGCCCAACTCTTATTTGTCACACTATTCTGGGTTTGAATCTCTTCATAGCCTTTTGAATTTTATTTGAGAATAATTTGGGAAAAAAGTATTGCCCTTCTGTATGTAAGGTCTTTACTTTATTAATGTGTCATTAGTCTTGCAGTATGGTGACATTTATTGTGTTTAAGCAATGGTGTCGTGCACATGTGTCATAAATTTTAAACTCCTGGCATGTTTTGCAGGATGCATTTGTTGCCATGATGCGTTACGTATACATGTGAAACCATTCATCCCATCTTATGTCCATCTTGGTCTATAATAAAATTTGAATTTTACATATACATTATTATAGTAATACATACATTTTTTTAATAAGCCAGACTGGTACAATAGATTTCTAATTTCTCCAAACGCATATAAAAATCATCAATCAATTTTGATAGATTTGCCAATACCCAGGAAGTAGTTTACCGCTGTTTTAAATACTTGCACCAGTATACAAGTGGAGTAATAAATAATAATAATGGCGCTTTTCATTTTATTTTTGATTTATTATGAAGTAAAGATATTCCAACATTAAATACGTTTTGTTTAATTTTAATTAAGACAATCTTACTAAAAAATTGAGGTACTAATCATGCAAACATACGAAAATTGTATTTACATATTTTGTGCAAATAATACTTATTCTACTTGTACACAATAACAACATTTTAACAAGGGTGGATATGAATAGGTTTGTTCATTTTTGTACAAAAATTATTTTACAAAACAAACACTCAAAGACAAAAAAAGAACGGGCTCTCGTATTTCATAGTTTATTTCAAACTATAGGTATTTGTATCGTTATATTAATTACAACATACTTATTTTAATGTAAACCAAATCAAACGAGATCAGAAATTCATCAATTTTAATCAAAATTATTTAATTACGATGGTTTAAAAAAATTCATTGAAACACCAGATAGATTAAAATTAAATAATTAAAAGTAAAACTAACAATTTATTACCTAGTTTTGTTTTTAATAACACGTTTTACCTCTTCGGGGCTCACGGAGGGCTTTAAGTCTCCTAAGCATCAAGTAAATAAGCGACCGGATTTTGTCTTGTGAATTCTTCAACATGAGAAGTTTGAAGTTGTTCAACACTTGTTGGAGGGGGCAAACGATGTCTAATGCATGTCTTTATCATTTTGCATATGCTAGGATACAAGTCAGGAGAATATGTTGACCAATCATTGTGATAACCCCTACATCTTTCAAGTACTGAGTGACAAATGGAGCTACCTCAGTCGAGCATTAAGTGCAATACAAAGTTTCCTTAATAAATGTAGAAAATGGGACCAAAGCTTCCAGAAGAACTTTGTACCTTAGTCCATTTGAAGATCCATTCTGTACATTAGTTTTGTATGGCCATAGGCATACATTCCACACCAGACCATAATTTAACAACTTTAAAAAGTCTGTGCCTCCACATGCATTTGAAGCAAATTGTCCTCTTAACGGTCCCAATCATCTGATTGCCACAAACCAAACCACCACTCATTGTTCAAATGTCCAAGGCGATGTTTATTTGCCAATTGTCACCTTTTTACTCGATGCCCCTTCAGTAGTAGAGATCCTGATGCAGGATGACTAGAGACTAGGAGACTAGGCTATTCTCACAAACCCTTATGATGACTGTTTAGGGATGGAAATTATGTTTTAGTCAACTATTATTCTTCATATCTACCTATTACTTAAAATAAACAAATAAATACAAGTGACTGGTTTTTAAGTTTTATTTTATTTATTTATTTATTTATTTTTTTTTTTTTTTGTCTTTGGATGTATATATAAAAGAATCTGCCCATATAGGAGAAAAAGGGAAGAAAGACAATTTTGGAATTACATTGAAGCAATTTTGTAATTAAAACAAACACAAAATATAAAATTACAAAGGCACATAAAATTACCAATATATGGCCAGTTTATTTTTAAAAAACATTTTTGCAAGTATTATAAGCGTATTTGCCAAATGGTGCACAATTTCTACGAAGATAAATCTAAGGCAATAGCAGCGGCAGGAATCACAGAAAGTACAAAGGTCGGTTAGGAAAACAGCTCTTGTGACATAGGAAAGCAAGCAACAACGTCTCAACAATTAACATAAATCTTTTAACGTGAAATGAAATAATCGGATAGAGCACAACTTTCAAAGGGGGTGGCCTTCCATTATACTTACTTTGAGCTGTTCAAGCCAATTTCGTACTTCTAGAAATGACTGTTCGTTAGTGAGGTCGAACAGAAGTAAAAACCCCATCGATTCCCGGTAGTAAGATGTAGTCAAACTACGAAATCTACAGCCAGTGTTAATAACGCCTAATTAGTAACATTCCACATTCCCCAAAAGCGTGCTGCTTTAACATGTTATATACAATAAATGACAACAGTTTAAAAGCTTTATTTTATAAACATTCTGTTTATTATGGACCCAATCTAGCTCTTGTTTTCACTTTTTTATGAAAAAAAATTCTAAAATTTTAAAAGCTATTCTAGTTTAGGAACAATTGAGCTTATCTCAATACATTTTTATTCTACTCAGCAAGCTATTTACTAATTTTATGATTATACCAGCTCAAACTCTATAAATATAATGCTTTTTTTAAAAAACCTGTTAATTACCAAAAATATTGCTAAATTGAATTTATAGATAAAAACCAATTTTTCAAATAAAAAAATTGTTTGGTTCAAAAGATGATTAATTATATCATGCAAATATGAGTAATCCAATAAAGTCTCACACTCACACTCAAAAAACAAGGATTAAAATTGATTATCTTGGTGGTGCTAACAGTCACTAATTGACCACTACACCACCAAGACATCTCATATTAAAAACAATAATGTACATCCAATCAGGCAGGTGGGCTAAAATATTTTTCAGTATGAAGCTTACAAATATTATTAACATAATACAAGCATATCTTAATTACTTATTAAATTGAGATTAATCTTCTAATAACTTTGTTTTAAATCACAGTAAATTTAAAGCTGTTACTTATGTAAACTTAATCATCATCATGAATATTTACCATGGTGATTAACTTTGTGACTTTATATGCCTCTACATATAATTGATTTATTTATTTAGTAGAAACAAAACACACAAATTCAAACCAAAGCAACAAATGAAATAGACTGAAAACATTATTTAAAACATTTAAAATTGTGACAATTTTGCAACAGTTGACCCTTTTTTACATATTCTATCAGTCATACAACTAAACATGCATCGTGTTTTGTTTATTATTATTATTATTATTAATTTTTTTGCTTTATTATTTACCTTTCTTGCCCTGCTGTATCCCACAACTGAAGACATATCCTCTGAGTCTTTCCATGAATTTTATAAGACTGAAACAGAATTGAACAAATCTTTGAACAATTATAAGAAGGTGCCTGACAAAAGATTATTATAATTATTATTGTAGGCTTATCAGACCACACTGAAAATTGTGAAATGCCGAAAAGTGTTGAATAAAGCAAGATAGGAAGACCAAAATGATCAGAAACAACACAATTACAAGTTCATCACCCCTCACAGCACATTAAGAAATCTCACGATTTTATTTAGATAGGAAGATAAAATAGTACCAACTTTATGTATCCAAAGCTCAGTTTACTATCAAGTCTCTTGATTTTTTCTTCAGTTTTGTTAGTGTTTCCTCATTACTATTCAAATAGAATAGAATATATTTATTTAAAAAAAAATCACAATAGGGCTTGGCCTTTTCAGTATTAGAAATTTTGACCACTTTTTCACTCTGGAAGAAGGTTTGTCTCAAAGAAGAAAGCAAATTCAGTTATTACTGCCAAGCTGTTGACCTATTTTAAGGTCATCACATTGCAATATTGTTATAGTCCTTGGCAGTCTTCAAGGAAATTTGAGATTAATCTGTAGATTTAAGACTGTTATGCTCCACGATGACCTGAAAAGAAGTAGAAAGCTTGGCAGTAACAACTGAATTTGCTTTCTTCTTCAAGACCATACCTTGATCGAGAGTGTTCGTGGAAATAAGATTGGTACATTAGTGTCGCGAAAAATTTGAGTGGCCTAAGTGACAAAAGTCCATTCAACTAGTTGAATCAACTAGCCACGTTTGAAAGAAGCCAAATAAGCTGCTAGGCTATGGAGGTTGACTAACAACCTAAACCTGACCAGTGAGTTATAAAAATATAAAAAATCACAATAGATCAGGTCGAGGTGTGGAAGACCTTGCGGCTGCCTCATTTATCCCTATCCCTATGGTCTGGACATCAGTAAGCACATGTTCTACAAACCCATTAGGTGACCAGGTTCAACATGTCTCCTGCAATTGCTAGGAAATGGCCGTTCCTGTACAATATAGACCTACATACTCTTGAAAATAATTCTGTACTTCATTAAAAAAACGAAAATCATCAAGTAAAACCGTTCACAGAGACCGGATACAAAAGATGAAAGTATAATTATTAAAGGGGCAATACCATATGACCCCGAATGGGACAAAAAAAGAAGTGTGTAAAAACATTGTACGGTATATTTGTCAAACTTACGACTTTCTTGACTCTGAAGTCGATCCCCACAGTGGATATGAACCTGGTGTTGAACACTCCATCAGTGTACTGGTAGAGGAGGCTAGTCTTCCCAACGCCGGAATTTCCAACGCAGAGGAATTTAATTAGATAGTCGTAGTCGTCTGTCATCCCGGTTGTAAAGCAGAGGAGATGAGTCGAGGGCCTCACAAAGCCAAAAGGTGTCAACTGATGAGAGATAACGTCCGGGGCTGGGCAGACGGTTTTCCTTTTTTCACGATTATCATAAATGAAATTGGACCGAGGAGAAGCGATATTCGCAAAATTATATGTTATATGGAGATATTAGGCCTCGCCACCCCAGGTCTCCTGTCCCAGATGTTTACAAACTTAGAAAGTCGACTTATCACTTAGGCCTCTAATCAGTCGATAGTGTTGAAGGTGAAAAATGTTTAAGGAAGGTTTCAGTAAGATTTAAGGCAGAGCGGTCCATGTCGCCTCAATATAAATTACATCACCGAAAGGGAATTTGAAGCCATTGGCAAAAAATTGAACTCCATTCAATCATTTTTTATACTTCATTTATTGGGAGGTAATGCCAATTTAATAACTATCAAATCATTTATAATTTAAAATAATAAAACTTGAGTTATTTGCTAAGGCTTTATTATATCTAATAACGATGAAATAATGCAGTTTCTATTAATGAACATATTATGCTTAATGCTTAAGCATACCAGTTAAGAAACTAGTTATATTTACGCAAAGTAATATTGTAATTACTACAGACAGATTCCAAGATTCTTTCCTGCGTATGAAGCTTAGGTTTTTTCAATCGCCAATTTAGCGCAGGAAATTCTGTTTTACTTAACAATTCATCCAGTTAGACTCACCCGCACCACATATTCACATACTGGGTTATGCTCATATAACAGTACATGTATTTCGTACAACCAGCAGATTGGATAATTTATATTTGTGGCATTACAGGTGTTATAGAGAAATCTACCCATTGGCAGCTGCTGTGGATTAATAAAATGATATTTAATGATTTAATTGTGGGGAAAGAAGTAATTGTATTTGTGTGTTAGTGTGATTTTGTAATTTACTATGAAAACGTCTGTAATACGTTTCTATTCTAAATTATTCGAAAAATTAATTTACAAAAGAATTATCTTTATTGCTACTTCAAACGACATCTTACCAGACAATCAATTTGGCTTTCGAATTCATCATTCTACCACTCTTTCACTTCACAAAGTAGTAAAATAAATATTTAAAAAAAAAATTTAAATGTGGTAGTATGCCATCTTAGGGGACAACGATTAATTGTGGTTCAAAGGAAAATCTATTACACAAAACTTGACAACACTACTTCACACCATCAACACGACTCGGGTCGCTTTGTTTAAAAACAATACTGAACAGATTCATTCTGTAAGAAGTTAGGCAAAATTTAAATATTTTATCATTTATAAAATGAAAATGGTAAATGAAAAAATAAACTTGCTGTAAAAAACCAGCTGACCAGATCTCCTGTAAAAGAGTGGATTTTATTTTAATTTACGTTTGAAAGCCGTTGTCTTTCTGATTTCTTTATTTAACGCAATTTCGAGAACTATACACTTTCCCATACAATGGAAACTTTCTTACATTACAATGTTCCCAAAGCGTCATAAAACTGACAGTTTCCCCATCTTATCGTCCTATTAGTTTGTTACCCGTTCCTTCTAAATTATTCGAAAAATTAATTTACTAAAAAATGATCTCTATTACTACTTCAAACATCTTACCATACCGTTTGTCTTTCGAATCCTTCATCATCACCATCGACTTCACAGAGTTAAAAATTTCATTACTTCATGTGTCGAGCAGAAACTTTACGCGATTGGAATGTTGCTAGATATTTCTCAGGCCTTCGACAAAGTATGGCATGAGGGATTATCATACAAATTAAAATTATTTTTAGGCCTATATCTGATTATACAAACATAACTTACGGAAAGGTTTTTCGCAGTGAACCAGGGTACGGATACTTCTGGGGTGGAAGAAGTGCTTGCAGGTGTGCCACATGGACCAATACTCGCTCCGTTGTTGTGCACAATTTTTACTTCTGATATGCCCACAAATGAGAATACGCGGGACTGTTTCAGTGCACTTTTTTCAATACGATGCAGAGAGCTATTATGGATTTCTGTTATCTCGTTTCTCAAATTCTTCTCTTCTTCGGTTCACATCGGTCCGTATATCGTAAAAAATTGTCCGTATGATCCTCTTAGAGATGGAATTTCAAAAAATCCTTTCTTAGCGGCTATCCATGTCTTATAGGAATGGATTGTTGAATTTCAGCCCTTTATCCAGCGGTTTGGTCTGTGCGTTGTATGTCAGACAGTTTCGGAACTGTTTTATGTATATAGATAAACGTTCACCTGGGGCTCTTTCTCAATTTCTCTCAATGGTTTGGCTGAGTGGAACGGTCGTCAATGAGGCCAAATGCCGGTAGTTCGTCGTAGTTCCTTCCTACACCTCTGCTGCCTATAGTAAAGATAAAACGGTGAAGTTTGTCTCTTCCTTTCTTTACAACAGCGAAACCAATTCTAGTGTGACCTTTAATGTAACAGAAATTTTGCAACTGTAACCGATTCAGTAATTTTTGCGACTATAGATTGATAGCGTAGTTTTTGCGACTATTGGCTGTTAGCGCCTCCAAACCGGAATTTGAAAGACGTCGGAAACGTGTTTCATACCGGGACACGAAGCCCCGACTGGACAGCTGACAGCTGAAAAAACAGATTATTATCTATTTTTATTACGAAAACTTTAAATTATTGATATGCCCATTTTATATTTTCTAAATCCGCCCGGCACTAATAAAAACAAAGTGTGAAAGTTTCATCGAAATCGGTTCAGTAGTTTTCGTTTTTCTGATTAACACACATACGAACATTCACTTTTATATATATAAATAATATGAGAAACCAGCAAATGCTGGCACTCAATGTGAGGGACTAAAGGGCAAGGAGGAGATTAAGATGACGTGGCGGGTTTGCGGGATGGGAATATAGAGAGGGCTCAGACAGAAGGGTTAGTATGGGTCGAGACTCAAGAGGTTGGCGTGATACTTTTGGAATCGGGAACGGATCAGTTCGTTGACCAAAGCAATGTTGAGGTAGTTCTAGATAGTGAGGTTAGTGACGTAATAAGGAAAGGAGCTTTGAAAATTTGTCTGAGGTCATTTGTTTGGAAGGATTGGGTGATGTTGGGTGACTGGCAGAAGCCCACAGTCCAATTCGTATGTCCAATGTGGTCGCAGGAAAGTCTTGTATAAGGTTAGGTTAGTTTTGACAGTCAAGGCAGATTTTGGTCCTAGAAGTCTTTTTAGTAACAAGTTAAGTTAAGTTTCTGTTGAATTGTTGTCTCTTAAGTCTTGTGTGGGGATTCCATGTCGGTGTAGATACAGACCTAATTATTTTACTTAAATAGAAGTTTGTATCTCTTTGTGGTTGATACAACAGAGGGCTAGACTGTTTTCGTAATACACAGTACACTGAGTAGTATTCACAATTCAGTCTTGTCCTCTACTTTTTGCACCAGTCTTTGATAAGCTCAAGGTGTTATTGGATGTTGGACACGGCTTGGATAGGAATAGAGGTAAAGAACAAAATTGCGGTAAGGTCCGCGTAGGTGATGACGGTATTAGGGTGTATATGTAGGTCAGCAGTATAAATGATATAAAGGATGATACCGAGAATGCTCCCTTGTCGGACGCCGGCTTGTATCTCTCTGACTCGTATTATAATTGTAAAAGTTGATAATTTTCCCACTGGAATGTTGTTGGCTTTATCTTTACTGTAAATTATCAAGACTGTATTATAAATTCTGAATAATAAAGACTTTAGAAAATGAAATTTCAAAAAAACCGGAGAATTCAGAAAATTTTGTTCGAATTAGACAAGTGTTTTTCTCTCACTTTTAATTTCCCTATATTTAATACCGCCAATCATTACAAATAAGTTTGTAAATCCTGATTTTTGACAAGTCAATGACAGTGTCTTCTGTCGATACTGAATAGAGAATAGGACTAAGGAAGCTGCCTTGCGGAACAACCGCTTCGACATAGTACATATTAAACATTTATAAATTTATACAAGCTGCAAAGCCCGAGAAATCTTCTGCATAAAATTTGTTCAAGTACGAACAAATAAATCGTACATAATTCTTTATTGCTTAATAGAATTTAAAAAATAAGCTACGTCAATTCCAATATTAAAATATATTTTATTCAATGGAAGCATAGCTCATTAACTCTCAAAGAAATTCACTTTCACGTACAACTTTCCCAGAGTTAAAAACATCACAAGGATGTCGACGCGGACAAACGCCCGTGCCCGGACCTAGCCCCTTCCCGCTTTTACTTTCTACAGGAAACTAATTTAAAAAAACCACTTCCACTGAAATAACATCGAGAGGGGGACGAGACGCACACCATAGAGGCGAGAATAAGCGGACCCAAAACACATTTTTGTTCTATGTGAAAACCTATTGTCAACTTTGAAAAACCATGCGTGCATGAAGGTTGTATTCACAAAATTAACTAAATTTGCTTTTTATCGAAATGCGAAAAAAGCATTAACTTTTGTGAATTTCTTAATGAAAATTTTAAGGTTATATTATACAATAAAATATATTTAAAAAAATTTCTTACAAAATTTAAGGGAGATTACATAGGTATATTACTAACGTTTACACCAATTTAATTACTTTATTTATAAAAAATTTACATATTTTCATGTGGAGCACCACTTTAAATTAATAAAACAGTTTCAACATAAATATTAATATAAATATTTTTTTTTTCAAATTTTTTATGGTTCATCCAATGGAAAAAATATTGCTATCAAGCATACAAATGCCGTTTAAATAAAATAAAAAATCCCTGAATTTACATGTTACGTACTACATGCTATATTTACAATTTGTCTTACCTAAAGTTGTATAAATTATCTTTGGAATGTACATAATTATCCTTTCTGATGTTTCTGTAATAACAAGTTGCCATATTTGCTCATTGAGGTATTTACAATTACGAGTTACAGGTAATATGGCAAACCCGCTGAGTTATATGCTTGAATAGTAAAAAGAATCTGCGACCTAGGACAGTTCAAATTTCTATTTATCTGAGTCAAATGCCTATCTGTGGATAAAATGGTTTTCAAGTCCCAAACTAATCAGTTCGAATTATATCACATTATATCGCGTTTGTCGCCGTTTTTTCTTTGTTCTGACTCAGTCCAGATTCGCTTTTGATGATTTGATTGCACTGACACTACGTCATCACTTTTTCGATCCAAGGGACGAACCTCTGGATGTTGGTGTAGACGCCGGGGAGGTGCTCGCGGCCGCAGCCGATGCCCCAAGAAACTAGACCTATCAGCACTTTCCTACCGTCCAACGTCGTCGTCAGAGGACCGCCGGAATCGCCCTAGCAAGAAAATGTTGATTTAATCTTATCCGAGCACGGGTTGTGAAAATTTAAAACGTTAGATACCTGACAACTGTCTCTTCCTCCTTCTTTGAAGCCGGCGCAGATGAAGACATCGTGTATCGTTTCTCTTCTTCCGGCCGCTCTGAACCACCTCTGGCACCTCTCGTTCGGTATGACTTCGACGTCGACTTCCTGCAGCACCGTCGGCACGGTGACGACGCCTAAATTGAAAATAGTATCGAAGGTCAAACGCGAATCCCAATTGTTATTTTTTATAAATTATACTACCGTGTCTCGTACGGCCCCAACCGGCGACTGTAGCCGTTTTCCCGACCAATTTGGTCGTCGTGTCCGGAAGGCAGACTGGGAGGATGTGCTGTTTGAAGTTGACCTGTTTGTCGAGCTTGACCAAAGCGAGATCGTTCCTAAAGTCAGTAGGACTATACTGCGGATGCACCTGAAAAACATGCTCTTTAGTCAATACCCATGTAAACTAAAATTAACACTTAATGAATATATAACCATCATTATAATCAGATACTGTGGTGGATAAAAAACGATGATGTTCCTCGACCGATTGCTACAAAATTTACACTAGGAAGCAAATTCCATCAACACATCCACCAGATTTTAATGGTAGAACAGAGGACAACTGTACTATGATTGTGTTAATTTTGATAAAATTTTAATGATTAGCCAGAGCATACAGAAATACATATGTTTTTATACAACATTATCCAGTGAAACTAAGGGGCACTTCAGGGGATACTTAAAATTGTCTTAAAAAAAGACAAGGACATCGTCGTGTCGTCCTAAACACCAACCTCATACTGTCTGCAACGGAAGGGAAAACTTCTAAGTAGGGGAAAGAGTTTTTCTCATATTTCTCACGTAGTATAAACAACCTCTAAGCGTAAACTAATTATGTTTACAATTGTTAATTCATTGGTTAGAGTGTTTATTACGTGAATTTATTAATTCCGCCCCCAGATTCCATTTTATTCTTTTCGATATCTTTTTCATCTCCTGATTTCTGTTAAAGTCAAACAATTTTAAGGTTAACATGACTCTGACTTGCCATGGGGTGATTTTAAGAGGAGGAAGGAAATATTCCAAGGGTATAAAAGAAGTGCTTAATTCTTATGAAAAGGTTAGGAGAACTGGACACCAGGACAAAGAACATTAACTAATAATGAAACCTTATTAAAGAGCTAGACGGGTTGATGGTGATGGATATTAGGATGCTGGTTTGTGCTACTGCAGCCTTTTGGCTTATTGTACCTTCCTAGTTCCTAGTTCAGTGCAATCAACTCAATCCTTGTTTTAAGGAGTATTATATCATTGATTCTCCTTGCTTCAGTTTGTTTCAGTTTGTTTCCCTTTGTTATTTGTATATTGAGTGGTTGCTTCGCGTTCGAAAATGATATACGTGGCTGTTTTTTCCTCCTCACTGCACAATCACCGTTGAATATGCCCATATGTAGATGTTTGACCGGTTAATAGTCCTATCACTCCTCTGAGTCCTAGCTTTTTCCAATTGCAGCAGTGAGTTTGCCAGCTTTGTTGAGGGTTTTGTTTAGCATAAGTTTACTGTATCTAGCGCCCTTGAGTTTATCCACTTCTCTCGTGTTTTTTTCACCCATTCTGCGCTGGAGGATTCTGTAATTGTTTCTGTCATCTCAAGAATACACGTTAGAGGGACACGGGAACTTTTAAAATATCGTAAGCCAATGGACATCTAAATCTACAATTCACTTGTAGTATTTGTCGTTGGCATTATAAGAGTATTGAATTGCATATTACAGTTCTGTAAAAATGTGATGACCTAGGCCTGTGGCTTATAACTTGCTTATTTTTGGGAAGGTCACCTGGGAAGTTCGCGAAGCACAGACAAGTGCAATTGATGGTTGAGTATGTCGAAGACATATTGCCATTTAATGAGAAGTACGTCTTTGCGTCATCGTCGTGGCTAGTATCTGTCTATGCATATACAACTGAAAGCTTATCTCAAACCATAAATAATTTTCTATAGAGGATACCTCCCGAAAGGGGACAAAAATAGTTGAACCATGCCTTCCCTTAGCAAGATGCACATTTGATCACATTTATTTATTGTTTACCCATACCGGATAATTGATTAAAAAGGTAGTAACGGTCTGGAAATTAGCAGTTTTCAAGGCCCTTCGTAAATCTGAAGAATTAGTAATCAAGAAAAACATTCTCTGGTCTCGTAGCTCAGTACCTGTACGTGATACTCTTCAGGAAAGACTGAAGACTATTCTTCGTTTCTCTTTAATGAATGAATTCTCCTTGTGTACTTTCTTCTTCTCATACTGATATTCTAAATAAAAATTGCTTCTTGCATTTTATTTCACATGATATGGAAAATATTTGGACCCAGCAATATTGGTGATTGAAACATCTTTCCATCCTGAATAGTGTTTCGGATAAATGGGGTTGAACATGATCATTGTTTAGATCAATTAATTAATCTTTTTATGTAAGGTTTTGGTTGAAATGACAAAGCTAGTGCCACAAGCGGGATTCGAACCTACGTCCTTCGGCAAAATACGCCGCTGCTCTACTTGAGCAAGCGTGACTTCGATCCACTCGGACACCAACTCCCCATCTCAACCTACAACTTCGAATTTCCCTCCTATTTGCCGTTTTTCAAATGTCGTATAATCAGGATTCGATTCTCGGCGACATTTGAAGTGGCCACGGGGAGCTGTTAGTGAAGTTATACTTCGTTTTACTTATTAAATCCATTATATTTAGTGGTCTATTGGCCAAATTACTTCTTTCAATTAATTAATCTTTGTGTGTAAGGTTTTGGTTGAAATTAAAAAGCTGGTACCACGAGCGGGTTTCGAATCCACGACCTTCGGCTAAATACGCCGCTGCGTCGTGTAATCAGGATTCGAATCCCGCTCATGGCACTAGTTTTTTCATTTCAACCAATATCTTACATAAAATATAATTAACTGAAAGAAGTTATTTGGTCAATCGGACCACGAAATATAATGGACTACATAAAAAGATAAATTAATTGAAAGAAATAATTTGGTCAATAGACCACTAAATATAGTGGATGGTTTAGATAATTTCTTTTAGATCCTGGGGAAAAACTATGGGGTACCATCAAAGCTTTTTTTATAACCCTCCGTTTTCGAGAAAGTGGGTATCGCATTGAAATAGAAATACCCTGTATAGTGGGCCGGGCTGGCCGGATCTATGGCTTTCTATTCACCTATTCCACTTGCTATACGATCTGAGTTCGATTCCCGGCAGAACCCTTGGAATTTTATTTCAGATTGTTTTGAAAAGTAATTTTCAGATGGTTTGACCCTTCGTCCGGACAGCCATGTGGTTGGACGGTTAAGCCCTATATGACAATAATTATTTTACATTCCATTTTTTTATATTTAATATAAATCTTTTTCAAGGTTTCTATTAATCAGGATTACATCAAAAGCAAGGATCCTTCGTCATTAAGCTTATAAAAAAACGGGACATTTGAATAATTACCTCTTTCCTTTCAATGTTGTACTCTTCATGCAGGAGTCTTTCAGCCTGATCCCTCACGTCCCACTCTCCTAGTCGCACCTTCAGATTATTGTTAGTCGTCCTTAAAAAATAAGTTTAAATGTGAGAAAAGTACGTGAAAAACCCCATCGGCAAAAATACTCACCTAAAATTTAATTCAATGAGTGAGTAAGCAATTCAGAAGCGATTTAATAATTACGTTTAAGTATAAACTAGATTTAAGCGTTCAGTGTAATCTTGTATGGCTTAAGTTTGGTGGAAACATTTTTCAGTCTGATGTGTTCTGATGTTTAGACAAAAGCGTATAAAAATAAATAAATCATCAGAAACATCACATGAATTTTGTAATAAATTAAAGTAATGAGAAATAAAGCGTGCATTGTGACAATTAACTCGAGAAAGATATTCTCTACGGTTTGTGTAATCTACTAGGAATGAAACCATCAAACCGGCGATGACCCAAGACCCAAAAACGAAGCGTGCCCTTTTGAAAAAGTTTTAGTTACGTTGCGACGCAGTGAGCTGCCGTGACGACCCATCTGTTGTTCAATAGAGCTCCGCCGCAGGAGAGTTTCTTGCTCAGGAAGCCGGTTTTAATTATCGCCGCCTGTACAGATTTGATTGAACAATAGCGTTTTTAAATACGCACATAGGAGAATACAGACCTGCCATGGATGTGTTCCAAACGTAGAACTATGGCCTCCGACGATCCGGTGGCTTCTTGAATAAATTTCTCCGCACCCTAAAAACATATCATGCAAAATAAAATAAAAACGCGTGCACTTCCGGTTTGTAGTCGAGTGTTAGTTCATGCGGGCCATAGATGCATATTAGTGCTTTATGTGCTTAGGCCGATGTTGTGCACTGGGTGCGGGAGACTGTTGGCGGTTTACCCCTAAATCCGAGGTGGTTGTCGTGGAACGTCGGAGAATGTATTATCGGTGGGTATGGGGTGGAATGCGTTGGGCGGTAATCGGGTCGTTGGTAATTATGCGGGTACTGGGGTAACGGCGATATCGGGGGAATGGGAGCAATGGGAGGGAAGTAGGTATGGTGATGGGGTGGCCTGGGACGTTGAGGAGGAGGAAGGTTCCAGAAGTACTCGTGCTGACTCTCGCCCTGTTCTTCTGGCTGTTGTGGCTGCGGGTGAAATGGGTGGACGCCCTGGAACTGCTGGGCCTGCAGGAACGCCAGAGCTGCGCACAACAACATTCCATTCTATCTCACCTTAATTAGCCCCGACATAACAATTGTAACACTCTTTTTAGGTATCAATTCAATTCCTTCAATAATACTGTGATTGGCCGTCTTATTTTTTTCACAAGTGAAACCACAACGTACCAAATCAAAAGCCCAACGTGGAATTAAGTTTTTAAAATTAGTCAAGTTAGTCTCAATTCCACTAATCGATCATGCTTCGTACATTTTAGTATATTCAAAACTGTTAATTTCAAGCCACATTAAATATAAGTTTTATTACAAATGTACAAATCAACTACTCAATTATAAACATTACACTACCATGGTATAACAATATTGAATCGATAATAGGCAAATAAAACGCTAAATAATTATAAAAATAAAGGTGCCAGATAGAAAAAATGGAGCTCAAAAAACATCTTATTAATTTTACATTTCAAAATACACCGAAAATACTTTCAGAAATGCAATATAAGTTAAACAATTTAAACATTGACAACAAGAAGTTAAACAATCGATAAAGAAAATGTAGCCGAAATGCTAGAATGATGCAGAAAGAAGCATTAAAGCACATCTAGCAGTTAAGAAATCAATGTATTGTAGGCACTCGGATCAGATGATACACACAGGTCTAGGCTAAAAAAACTATGTTGAACGTAATAATAAAAAAAATGGACAAGGTTGAAGTTGCACTTTGCTCGTCACTTCCCTCTGCCTATCTTCGTTTTGGTCTGTTCGATACTTTAGCTTCTCGCCACCTTCAATGTTCATTCTAGTCTAAAACCCGCCACTGAAAATGGCGAGAAGTCGAAACGTTTCTATCTGATTAGAACGACGATAAGCGGAATTGACAAGGACAGGGAGACCAAAATGATCGGAAACGACCAAACAACAAAAGAGTTTGGAGTGTACTAGGTCAAAATAACTGATCATTAACACTATCCAAACTTGACTGAAATGCAATAACTTAGGTTTTACGAACCAAAAGTTTTCGTTTTTGCTGATCGAAACGTCTTCAGTAAGGCGGATTATCAGGATACCCTGTATTTAAACATTAGCATGATGATATCTTAATTTTTTTTTTTTAAATTAATTCCGACGGTCTGGCAAACGTGTCCTTTCTCGTCTGCAGTTTTGTCAGGCACTTTCATTAATTTGCACTGTAAAGTAATTCCTGTCTTACAGGAAGGCTTAACTTAAAGTCCAACTACCCGTTGTGTGCCGCGGGCGAGGTGCAGAACCACTTTTCCAATACCTTTTAAGTACCATTAAAAATTAAAATTCCATGTGCCGGGATTCGAAACCAGAACCGTTAGCGTGGCAAATACACGTCGGACGCTCTAACCACTCAACCACCGGCCCACTTTAAATTGCATTGTGTCGATAAGTCACTTGTAATAAAAATCATTACAATTTAAAGTTTAATTCGGTTATTTGACCGTTGATGATAAATCTGGTCTGTCTATCTTAGCTGGTCGGTCAGACATGTTTCCTTATTTTGCTATCTTCAATGTGTCTTAAGTGGTGGGGTGATTGTGTTAGGGATATCTTTGTTTGTTGGTGCTTTTGGTGTATTGTACCGGTTGGTCTTCATGATCTTCGTTAATTCGATGATTTGGTCGTTACTGATCAATCTGGTCTGTCTATCTTAGCTGGTCGGTCAGACATGTTTCTTTATTTTGCTATCTTCTATGTGTCTTAAGTGGTGGGGTGATTGTGTTAGGGTTGTCTTTATTTGTTGGTGCCTATGGTGTATTGTACTGGTCGGTCTTCATGATTTTCGCTTCTTTTTATTATAATAGGTATAGTGTTTCCAACGGTGTATACGACGTATGCGAACTGTTGTTACACTTGTATATTTCCAAGTTTTCAAAGGTGTTCATGGTCGTTGTTATACGCTTTTTACTAAATTCAAACTTTCTGTATCGTTGTGGGCTCGGGAAGTTTTCCTGTAAGGAGAGTAATTCAAACTTTTGTCTATTTCCCTAACCGATCTTTGTATTTGTCTTTTATTTTTCGAAGTGTTTGTCCTATGAATTGGCTCCGCATTCACATGTAGTGGCGTAGATTCCATTTTTATCTATTCTTAGGGAGGTGCTTGATATTCCTCCATCACTCTTTATACCTATTATATATACCTAACCTAATTAAGGATCGATGGAGTACTCAATATTCCGCCATCGGCTCTGTCACAGCACATTCATGCCAATTGGTACGTTCACCCTCAGTACTGACTGACAAAGCGACACGAGACTATCAGTACTATATGCAATAAAACAATCCTGTGTCCTCCAAGAATAGGACTATGAGACCCAAATATTCGCAATCGTGCTGAAGCATAATTCTTCTATCTGGTGGCACTCCTACGAATTCTCTATGCGGAGCCAAGGAATTGCACACTTCAATTAGGTGAGAACGCCTTTCTCTATATGCTAAAACTAAGTGTCCGTGTGTCAATCTCGCATGTCCTATCTTTAATCGGGTGAGTATGTCACGTCTTCTACGAGCCAACCTATTTGAAAAATGTTATCTTGCGTAAGGAATGAAGAAGTATCAGTCAGATGAAGTAATTAATTAGCGTCAATAATAACATTAACAAATAATGAAAAACTAATTATTTTGAGAGGTGCAAATCTGTTTCTGATCTTAATAGACTATAACTCAATTGTCCCTTTCACTGAACACTGACACTTACATAACTCATAATGCTTGGGGGGGTCGGTGGCCGCAACGGTTTAGGCTCATCACTGTAAGGTAAAGGTCCCGGGTTCGAATCCAGAGGCCCTGCATTCGAACCCGACACACTTACAAATGGGCTTTTTTTCAAAAACACCGGCACCCCGAGGGTTGATATATAACCTCTTCCGTTGCGAACCCTAGTAAAAAAATTGTTACTCCTTGTATTTTTGCCAGGGCCATTTAAATAAATTCTATTTTACAATATGGTGTCAACATATTCACAATTTTGAATAAGAAAATTAAGTCATAGGTGTTCCTTCTTGCTTCCAGATATAATATGGAAAATTTGGTCTGTAGCACAGGAATAGTAACCGTGTCATCTATGGTTTAACGGATTTTAAATGCACAGTATTTTAAGAATTTATGCTGCACTTTTTCAATGTCATGTGAATTTAAAAAAATGCTTATTTCGTAGTATTGTATCAGTAGTAAAAATAAATGTGTGTTGTTTAGTGACCGTTAGCCAATGATTATTTGGAGATGGTGAGATGCCGGGTGGTGTGACGTAGGTTTTAGAAAATGTGTAGAGATTAGTGACCGTTAATCGATAGTAATTCAGATATCGTGAGATGCGGTCGGGTGTGATGTAGGTTTCAGAAAAACATTTTCTTTATCGCGCCNACAATTACACAGAAGACAAACATTTTGAGGGAGTAGAAATATTTTGTTTGAATATAAAATATATTTTGCATTATATAAATTCACTTTTCCACATCCTAAATGTATTTGTTAAATGTAAACATTGTTTGTAAATCCCAGGCCCTGAAGATGATCTCAATAAAAGATCGAAACGTTGGCACGATAAAGAAAATGTTTTTCTGAAACCTACATCACACCGACCGCATCTCACGATATCTGAGTTTTAGAAAATGATTTTCTTTATCGTGCCAACCTTTCGATCTTTATTGGGATCATCTTCAGGGGCTGGGATTTATAAACATTGTTTCAATTTTACAAATACATGTAGGACGTGAAAAAAATGAATTTATTCATTGCTAGAAAATTTTAGATTAAAAAAATGAATTTATACAATGCTAGAAGATTTTAGATTTAAAAAAAGAATGAATTTATACAATGCTAGAAGATTTTAGATAGAAAAAAAGAATGAATTTATACAATCCTAGCAAATTTTAGATAAAAAAAATGAATTTATACAATTCTAGAAAAATTTTTGATTCAATCAAAGTATTTGTACTCACGATCTCCAAATAGTAAAAATAAATTATTTAGTGATAAAAAAATCAGTTCTGTTTGAAATATGTATGTCAATAACTCGATTAGATCAAAATGGATAGTGTCGCTACAACTCGCGCGTTTCTAATTATCTAACGCGTTGTATATTTAATTAGTCGTAATAAACGTCTGTTTTTAAAAGTGCGTAATAAGAGAAAATTCTCACGCCGTCCATGTCACGTCCTTTCATTGCGAAAGCGAAAGTTTTTACATAGAATAACCAGAGCGGGGAAAGTTAAAATACACTACCATTGTTGTCCTACCTGACCATATTTTTCCGCTCGCAATTAAGCTATTTAAAATCGGCATTGACAGGTAGATTATTGTGAAATATCCTTCGTCGGTCTTTTGTCAATCGGAGTATTTCACGTCACGAACACTTCCTCGGGCTTTCCAAAATTTACCAATGCGTTTTGCATATGTACGAAGTAAAACAACCACCAATTTGTTAGAAATTATGAAGGTGGGGTGAATACGTAGATTCAATTTTTGTAAATAATCCTTGTACTCGCAGATTGTTTACAGTGATCTGGTTTTCGAGCATTAAATGCTCATCATCAGTTTGAAGGAGTTACAAACAAATCTCTCGACATGAATTGTAATAGACATTCCAAAGAGAAGCTGGTTTTAATGCAGCTCAATTTTGAACGCGAGAAAATCGTGAATTACAACAAAATTAAATATCCTAATAAAAATGTAACAAAATAGTTTTAAATAAGTGATTAATTTATATGTCAAATAGTCACGTACATGTTTAAAATAGGAGGTAAATCATAATATATTATATTATTTATGCATTTATCTCAATTAAGTTTAATTATACCCATTATATTTTGTGGTCTATTGACCAAATTACTTCTTTCAATTAATTAATCTTTTTATGAAAGGTTTTTATTGGAATGCAAAAGCTAGCGCCACGAGCGGGATTCGAACCCACGACCTTCGGCTAAATACGCCGCTGCTCTACCACTTGAGCTTTCGTGACTTCGATCCACTCGGACACCAACTCCCCACCTCAACCTACAGCTTTTCGAATTTTTCCTCTTTTTTTGCCATTTTTCAAAAATCGTGTAATTAGGTTCGATTCTCGGCGACATTTGAAGTGACCTTCGAAAGGCTGTAGGTTGAGATGGGGAGTTAGTGTCCGAACATCAAGTTTAGCCAGAGGGATTTGATAGGTAGTGTCAGATCGAGGAAACTCTGTAAAATTAGCTAATTTGTAGCGTAAGAAAACTCATGGTCTCTGACTTGAACTATCTACTGACATCTCTGACTTTCATTCTCGACAACGAAGGAAAGTGAAAATCGAGTAAAAGCCAACGTCGGTGATATGAATAGATAATTGTTTCTGGAAATCAACATTTTAAAAATACACTGGAAGAGGACTCCATGTATAACAGCCAGTTTAGAAATCATCAAAATGAAATATTCATAAGGCAGAAAGGCGAAATCGCCTCGTTATTTTTTGAGCCGCCATTGTTTCTACCTGTTCTATTTAATTATATTTTAATTCGTCAATTGTCTTGTTCGTCCGCTTTGATTATACTGACTTGCATTTTCAACGGCTCCCAACGCCGGGTCTGAAGCCGAGTGAGCTTTGTCCCTGGAAACGCAGCAACTCCAGATCATCCCTCCGGAACAGAGATCTAGTGGTTTTCCGCCTTCGATAACGCAGGATAGTGAAAGGCCGCATTCGAATTGCGTCCCACGATACCAGCATGACTGAGGGATCACTGGAAAAAAATTTAAAAAGTTATTAGTAGAATCAGTAATTCTAAAGCTAAATTCAAATTTCCGTCCTTGCCTCATTCTTTGGCTACATAAATTTGATAATACGTTATTATATATCTATTATATTTAGTGGTCTATCGGCCAAATTACTTCTTTCAATTACTTAATTTTTTTATGTAAGGTTTTGGTTGAAATGAAAGCGTTAATGTCACGAGCGGGATTCGAACCCACAACCTTCGGTTAAATACGCCGCTGCTCTACTACTTGAGCTATCGTGACTTCGGTCCACTTAGAGACCTAGTGTCTTGACAGAGTCTACTACCACTTGGCAGCGGGTATTTAGTCGAAGGTCGTGGATTCGAATACCGCTCGTGACACTTTTTCATTTCAACCAAAACCTTACATAAAAAGTTATTATATATATAAATCTCTTCTTTTTTATTTGTCTTTCTGCCTATCAGTCTTATCTCTCTCGCACGTTCTCTCTTTCTTTCTCTTTTTCTCGGTCTCTCGTTCTCTTTCTCTCCTGTTTTATTTATCTAAATCTCTCTCCCTCTCTCTATTTGTCTATGTCAAACACTCCCTTAGTTTTTCACTCCCTCTCCGTCGTTCTCTCACCGTCATTATTTCTTTCTCTTCTTTTTCTATCCCTTTCTTTTTCTTTTTTCTCAATCACTTTCAATTCTATTTATTAGATAAGCCGCTGTTTCTCACTTTTCTTAATCTCTCACTCCCTCCCTCTCTATTTATCTATCTGATTTTCTCAATCACTCTCGATTCTGTCTATAACATAAGCTGTTGTCGACCACTCTCTTACCCTTCTTCCCTCCTTCTGTCTGTCTGTCTGTCTCTCTCTCTCTCTCTCTCTCTCTCTCTCTCCTTTATTTACTCTCTTTCGAGTTGCAACTATCGTGGCTACTTCGTTTATTCCCACTTTTCTCAATCTCTCTCTTGGTCCCACTCTCATCTTTTTTCTCTTACTGACTCTCTCCTCTATGATTCCTCAAGGAGGTCTTTCTCTGACCGTGGACACCGCTTGTAGTTTCACCATAAAAGCTTGTGGACGTGCTCTTTGCGAGATAAACGCGATAAAGAACTGTCGTGTGAAAGTGAGAATACTGAAAGCTTCGACCCCAATCATCCTCTTCACTGAATATATGTAACAGCTTTCTTTCGACAGTGTCGTTGCTCTGCGGCGTGGTGTCACCGTCCCTTGAAAAAAATTGTGACCGCGATTAACCCCCGAGGGGGACGACACAGGGCAGAAGGTCGTCCGAGCATGGCGAGTCGTAATCAATCGCTTTCCATCCAAGTGTATTAAAAAAAAAAAAAAAAAAAAAAAAAAGAGCATCACTTAAACGTCTGACGACGACCCGTGGCGGCCAGTCATCGGAACTGATCCAGTACAGATCTCCGGTGAGGAAGCGTCTTTAGAACTTCTTCAGACACCCCGCCAACCCCTTTTGTTCCCTTTTCACTACTTCCTACCGAAGACTTACATCATTGCAGATAACGTGAACCGTGTCGTTTGACCTTTGGTTAAGGGATTTGATTAAAAAAAAAAAAAACTACTTTCATTGTATTTACAATTAATTCGGTGCTTTTTGAAAAAATAAAAATAAGAAATGGTTTGGAATGTAAAACACTCTACAGATTGACCTTCACTAAAAATTCTCAACCTTTATTATCATATTGCGCATCGGTCTGACACAACCAACAACATAGCACAGTTAAACAAGTAAACAGCGGTAAATTAATAGCCTTAAATCGTTGATCATTTTTATTACAGAAAATTACAGTTATATTTCGATCAAATTAGTCACACTAAAGTTGCACTGTCATCACATGGACACAGCGACGGAAACGAATCATTATAGCTGTATATTTGAATACACGGAAATTACCGGTAAACCAAAACGAACTCAAATCATTAAATATTTTTTAACTCAGACCTTAAATATTTTTTACGCTTACAATTATATGCTAAGTTATGTTAACCCATGGGAGGTTATATAATTTAAGTCCTTGCATCTTGTGTCCTTTACAGGCCTTTCCATTTCCATTTAGTAGGAGTTTCCCAATTTATAACTTAAATTTTCCTCTGTTGTGAACGATCTCTGCTAATAGGTTTCCTGGAAGATTTCTTTCATAAAATGCAGAATTGATCACAAGGTTCAGTACCTAGGTCTATATTGGATTGAAATGCTTTTCCTAGATACCACAACCTTTTCCTAGCTGCTGCAGGATAGTTAGATAGGATATGTATCTGTCTTCCTATAGACAACATTGATCATCTATTGATATTTTTATGGTGGAATTTTGCTGGAGGATGTAACGTATTTTGTTAGAAATTTTTTGGCTATTTTCTGTTGAGTAGAAATTTCCTGTTATTACCATTGTGTTGTTTTTGAGAAGTAGACGTTTTGATTGTCTGGTGGTTGAATTACGCTTCTAGTATTTGTTGGTTTCAAGATTTCAGTTATTTTTATATGGCTTAAGCCACAAAATGGATTGGGTCTTATGAGTAATTTCGAGGCTCCATTTTTAGCTGGTGTTTTGCATGAAATCCCTCGTAGCCGGACACAAACCTTAGCTATAACCTATTCGAAGATCCAACGTTTTTAAGAAATCCTGGCAATCCCAGACCAGTTATGAGTTGAAGCTTGGAGAGCCTTTATAGAGTGCCGGAGATAGTTTATCACATAGAACAATAGAAAATATTATTTTTTTACAGAATACAAAAAACAGTCCAGAACATACAAACAATAATCTATCATAAAAATTAATTGAAAATATTTGATAGATATAGGTACATCATAGGTACGTTGAGTAAAGACTACAGAAACCTAAGTAGGATAATCTGTTTACATGGCTACCACATTAAGCGTCAAAAATTTAAAAAATCTCTGTGACTTCATTAAACTAACTTCATAACTTATTAAGCTTTTATATAAAAAAATTAACCTAATAACTATTGATTATTCAGAAATCGTGAGATGCGGTCTGGTGTGATGTAGGTTTCAGAAAAACATTTTCTTTTTCGTGCCAATGTTTCGATCTTTATTGAGATCATCTTCAGGGCCTGGGATTTACAAACATTGTTTAACCATGTAGGATGTGGAAAAAAGAAATACTTTGATTGAATATATATAAAATATTTTTTTGCATTGTATAAATCCACTTTTTTCCACATCCTACATGTTTAAACAGTGTTTGTAAATCCCAGGCTCTGAAGATGATCTCAATAAAGATCGAAATGTTGGCACGATAAAGAAAATGTTTTTCTGAAACCTACATCACACCAGGCCGCATCTCACGATTTCTGAATAATCATCGCCTAACGGTCACTAATCACCACACACTAATAACTATTAAAATAATACAAATATAGATGCAATGGGTGTCTTCACGGGAAGATCAGTTGTCCATTTTGACAATTAGTGTCCAGTGATTTTGACAATAGGTCAATAGCACACTAGTTGTTAAACGTTAGGTTTTTACAAAGTAATCAAATTTCATTTTAAAGCATACATTATGTTTGCTTTTAACGAAGCTCGAAATAATTAATAAAAGATTTTTTTGAGCAGTACACATAGACTTGACTAAACCACTGGCCATGCCACCCCATTAATTGACACCTTGAAATATTCCGCTGAAATGGTCACGATCAATTATAGCACATAAAAACACGAATATAATACGGCGACATGGGACCGACATCTGTTTTGAAATCCCTTTCACAACATCCTGCACGTTTCGCCCGACGAAAGTGATTCGCCTGCCGAACGTGGATGTTTCTTTTTATTCCGGTCTGGAACGTTCCATCTCCTGTCGAAACAATGGATGGTCTAGAAAGTGCAACCGGCACGAAACGTTCCATTCTATTTACAGGGGCTTAGCGCGGGCTTCGACGTGTCTTTGTGCCCTCGCCGGCCGGCGCGTTAATTGCAGGAAAGTCTGCCGTCGGAAGCGGACGATAGACAAACCAAAATCTAAACTCGTCCAGTTTCATGCTGGCTTTCATACAGAGACAAATTCAAACAATAACAATCATACTTATTATCCCAATTATTGTCAGCAAAATTGCTGACTACAAACTCCGGTGGCATATATATACTCCGATATATATACATAGCTCGGAGCAGTAGAAACATGCCTGTGGAGATATGTCTTCTGTTAGTACGAAGGCCTGTGCAGGCTAAGATTTCAACTCCTGAAGAAGAGAAGCTAAAGCCTTTATCAGAGCTTTGAAATCTGATAAAAAGCATCAAGCTTGGCAGACTACTAGTTCATGCCATTACAAGCATTATTTTGTTATTTTGTAAAAAAATGTAATATTTTGGTTTCTTTTCTAAATATACTTTTATAAATAAATAAAAAAGCCTCAAGGTTAACTAATAGCTTTAGACAGTAACAGGAAATTGCACAATATACCAATATTGGTAACGGTGCACAAGGTATTAAAGGAGCAGTCTAATTTTACCCTTAACCTTAGGTTAGTTCTATGAAAGTTCATTCAACCACTTTAAAAAACGAAAGAAGTTAGAAGGATGAGAGAGAGAGAGAGAGAGAGAGAGAGAGAGAGAGAGAGAGAGAGAGAGTGTGAGAGATAGAAAGAGGTAAATGGACAGAGAGATATAGAAATTCAGAGACAGAAAGATAGAGAAAGAAAGTGATAAATTCAAGAGTATAAGAGAGAGAAAGAAAGAGTGAAAATGTGAGAGATAGAGATACAGTGGAATTGGTAAACAAAATCCTTAAAGTAGCACATAGAGAAAGAATGACTTTTTAATTATCGATGGTTATTAAAGATGTTAAGAAAGTAGAGTTCACCCCATTTAGAAGAGGTGATACGAAGTTGACATTAATTTTGGGTCAAAGGTCGTATATGTGCCATGGAGAGACAGGTTTTTCGGTGTGTCCCACGTAATTTAAGGGTTAATTTGTTAATGTACCATAAAATTAAATATTTATTGGCGAAATATGTAGTGATTAGGTTAAA